TCCGGAGTAGCCCGCAGACCGGTCTTCGGCTCAGAGATTTCAAACAAGGGAATTCACTCAACAAACCCATGGATCTTGTTTGAACCGAAACCCTCGGGTGAAAGAGAAAATCCGCACAATTGCCATGCGCGGATTTTCTTTCATGAGTCATTCTTTCAGGGACGGGCTTCGGCCTTTCTGCGACACCCACGTCCGGTGATTGAACTAGGCGGCTCTCAACCTGCCGAGGAAACCGTCGATCTTCTGGTCGAGTTCCTCGGCCTGAGAGGATAGCTGCTCGGCCGCCGTCAGAACTTCGTTTGCCGCATCGCCCGTCTTTTGTACCGACGTCTGGACGACGGATATATTGTTCGCAACATCCTGGGTTCCGACTGCGGCCTCCTGGGCATTCCGCGAAATTTCCTGTGTCGAGGAATTCTGCTGCTGTATGGCCGAGGCGATCGACGAAGAAGTTTCGGAGATCTGCGTAATCACCGTGCGAATCTCGTCAATGGACTGCACTGAACTGTTGGTCGCCGCTTGCATGGCATTGACCTGTTCTTCAATGTCGCTGGTCGCCTTTGCGGTCTGGCTTGCCAACGACTTGACTTCGGAGGCCACGACCGCAAAACCCTTGCCGGCCTCGCCTGCCCTGGCAGCCTCGATCGTGGCATTGAGGGCGAGCAGATTTGTCTGCTCTGCTATGTCGTTGATCATGTTGACGACCGTGCCGACATTTTGCGCCATGTCGGCAAGCGCTTTCATCGTTTCTGTCGCACCGCTGCTGGTCGTTTCCGCATTCGAGGCCACATCGAGAGCCGTGTCGACCTGCCGGCTGATTTCCGCGATGGAACTCGACATTTCCTCAGAGGCTGCGGCAACAGTCTGCACATTCGCGGAAGCCTCTTCCGTGGCACCGGCGACTGATGTCGACTTGTGACTGGCGTCGTCCGAGATTTGCGCCATGTTCTGCGCGGTGTCGCGCATCTGGACGGCCGCTCCGGCGATGGACTGAACCACTGCCTTCACGGCATCCTCAAGATCGTCGGCCATCCGGATCTGGGCCTGGCGCTTTTCTTCGGCGGCGCGCAACTCGGCTTGCTTTTGTTCCTCCTCCAGCTGCTCCTTGGCAATGGCATTGTCCTTGAATACCTGGACTGCACCGGACATATCGCCGATTTCATCCCTGCGGCCAGCGCCTGGAACCTCAGTGGACGTGTCTCCGTCGGCCAGACGCTTCATCGCCGCTGTCATTGCATTCAGCGGATTGGCAATGCCAGCGCCGATCAGCCAGGCAAGGAAGCCGCTCAACAGCAGCGCAAATGCGGTACATGCAACCAAGACCGTGTTCGTCGTGTTGACAGTTTCTTCCTTGGACGCAAGACGCTGCATCATGAGAGCTTGTTCTTCCGCCTGAAAATCGGCCATCACACCCCGAAATGCGTCGAAATACTTCTTGCCTCGGGCTTCGCCAACAAGATCCGCCATGTCGTCCATCGTGCTTGCGTCACCGATTTTCCGCCGCAACGCGATCGTCGGCTCGGTCACATCAGCCTGCCATTCTTCCAGAGTGGTCTTGATTTCGTTGAGCAGTTCGACCTGGGCAGGGTTGTCGCTCACCGTTTCCTGAAGCTTTGCGACAGACGCATAGAAATTCTTGGCGCCTGTCGTATACGGTGCAAGAAAATCGTCCTTGCCAGCCAGCAGATAACCCCGCATACCGGTTTCCATATCAACGGCATAGGCAAGTATCTGGTTTGCCTTGCCTATGACTTCATAAGTGTGCTCAACCCAGGCTTCATTCTGCGCCATCTGTTTGAGTGCGGTATCGCTGGCAACTTCCGTTTCTTTAGCTATTGCGTAGCGTTGCCCGATCAGTTCGCGCTCAATTCCGGCAAATTCGCTCATCACCGTTCGGAACGCGTCGAAGTAGGTCTTGCCTTCCTTCTTCTGTATCTTCTGCACGACTTCCGTGAGCGGGACGATACCTGCGTTGACTTGCCGGCGAATGCCGATCACCGGCTCCACGACCCGGATCAGCCATTCCGTCATCTGGTTTTCGGCGGTCTGTAAGCGTTCAACCTGAGGTGGATTGTCGCTCACCGTTTCCTTGAGGGAATCAATCTCTTCAAACAGTGCTTCCCGGCCGCGTGTGTACGGTTCAAGGAATTCCTCGTCTCCGCTGATCAGAAAACCCCGCATGCCGGTTTCCATGTCGACGGCGTGGGCAACAATGTTTGCATTTGCAGTCAAAACCTTGTTTGTGTGCTCTACCCAATTCATGGCGGCAACCAGCTCAGCCTTGGCTTCACCGACACTGTTTTTAGCTGCCTTGAATTCGTTTCTGCGCTTTTGCAGGAGCTCTTCTTCACGCGCAGTGAATGTCGCAATCTTTTCTCGGAAACTATCGAAATAGGTTTTGCCTCGCGCCTCACCCACCAGTTTCGCCATGTCGTTCATGGTTTTCGCATCACCAATCTGGCGTCGCAAATCAATCGTCGGTTCGGTGACTTCAGCCTGCCATTCGAGCAGAATTGTCTTTGCCTCCGTCAGCCTGTCAACCTGGGCCGGGTTGTCACTGACTGTTTGCTGCAGTCCGTCAATTGCGGCATAGGTGTCTGCTTCACCCTGGTTGTAGGGGGCTAGAAAGTCTTCCTTTCCTGCCAGGAGATAACCTCTCATACCGGTTTCCATGTCGACGGCGGAGGAAACTATTCCCGTTGCATCGGACAAGACGTTGTGCGTGTGCTGAACCCACTTGTCCGTCTGCACTATCTTGCCTATCGACCAATAGGCCGTGACGCTCAAGACAATCAGCAATCCGATGGGAAACGCAAACCCGATGACAATCTTTGATTTAGTCCTAATGTCCTGAAGGCGCATGACTTTCCTCTGATTCGCAAGACGACGTAAGGGAACGTTGCAACCCTGCTCTCAACATATTAAGCGGATACGAACTCTTAAATTCATCAAATAAAATTAAATAGACTCAGGATAGAACACCTGCATTTCATCCAACCTATGCAAGCGACTTTGTTTGCGAAATCTTACAACTGATTTCTTTGACACTGCAGCAACTTCGAGCAAAAATGGCCACACTCTATCTAAGTTTTATTATTTAAAATCAATGTCTTAAAGGAATTTATGCCAAAAACATACCGCGCCAGATCTCATACACCAAAAAAAAGAGGCATTTTGCGAGGAAAATCTCGCAAATTCGGCTGTCCAACCCAAATTGTCAGAGAATGGCGCTGCCGTCGTCTGATGATACACGCCTGCTGGACGCCCTGTGTGTCAGCACCAGGCGCCGGACAAAGGCGACAACAAAAAGACCTGACAGGATCAGCACAATCGTCGGTGCCGGGGCGCTGTCGAGAAAGAAGCTTGCATATGTTCCGGCAAGCATCGACGCCATGCACACGAGGACGGAAACCCAGAGCATCGTCCCGAATGTGCGCACCAGCAGAAAAGCGATGGCACCCGGGGCGATCAGAAGGCCGATCGCGAGAATGAGCCCCGCAGCGGACAAGGTTGCCACGATTGTTAGCGAGAGTGCAGCCAGAAGACCATAGTGAAGCAGATTGACCGGCAGTCCCGAGGCTTGCGCCTGGGCCGCATCGAAACTGTGCAGGACCAGGTCCTTCCACTTCAGAACAAGGCCAGCACCGACCAGCGCGGCGATAACACCGGCCGTCAAGAGATCCTGCGAACCAACACCGAGCATGTTGCCGAACAGGATATGGTCCAGATGGGCGTTGGTTTCGACAGCGACATAGAGCACGATGCCGAGCCCGAACATGCCGGAAAACACCACACCCATCACTGTATCCTGCTTCACCCGGCTGTTTCCGGCGAGATATCCCGTTGCGAGCGCACAGATCATCCCAGCGGCGAAGGCACCGATCAGAAGCGGAATCCCGAATATATAGGCAATCACGATGCCCGGCAGAATTGCGTGGCTGACCGCATCGCCCATCAGCGCCCAGCCTTTCATGACCAGGAAACACGAAAGCAGGGCCGTTGGAACCGAAACGATGATGCAGATCAGGAAGGCGTTCTGCATGAAGGGAAACTTGAAAGGCAACAGAAGCGTGTCGAGGTCCATCAGATCGTCTCCCCCTTTTCCTGTCGGCCGGATACCCACTCAGGAGGCATCGTTGAATCTGCCGGCCCGTTTCGCAGGGCATCCGCCGCCTTCCGGCGGGCCGCCAGCAATCCGTGCTTGGGAGCCAGCAGGAAGGCGACCAGGAAAATCAGTGTCTGCAGCGTCACGATGATGCCACCGGTTGCCCCGTCGAGGAAATAGCTGACATAGGCACCGGCAAAGCTCGTCAGCGCGCCGATAGCAACAGAGAGCGCGATCAGGCGCGGGAACCGGTCGCAAAGGAGATAGGCCGTCGCACCGGGCGTAACGACCATTGCGATCACCAGAAACGCGCCGACCGTTTGCATGGCGGCCACGACGGAGGCAGACAGCAGAACGAAGAAGACCGCCTTGAGCAATCCCGGTCTCAGCCCGATCGAACGGGCATGGTTCTCATCGAAGAAGGTGACCATCAGGTCCTTCCACTTGGCAAGCAGAACCGCCAGCGACACGAAACCGATAATGGCAAGTTGCAGGGTATCTTCCGGTGTGATTGCCAGAATATTGCCCATGGTGATGGTCTGAATGGAGACCGACATCGGGTTGACGGAGACAATGAAAAGCCCCAGTCCAAAAAAGGACGTGAAGATCAATCCGATGATGACATCGACCTTCAATCCGGACCGTTCGGAAAGAAACAGCATGGCTCCGGCCGCAAGGCCACCTGCGATAAACGCGCCGAGCGAAAATGGCAGGCCGATGATATAGGCCCCGGCGACACCGGGAACCACGGAGTGAGACAGCGCATCTCCGATCAGCGACCAGCCCTTCAGCATCAGATATGCGGACAAAAACGCACAGACGCCGCCCACAAGCGCCGACACCCACATGGCGTTGACCATGTAGTTATAGGCAAACGGTTCCAGGAGGGCTGCCATCAGCTGCCGCCTTCGGTCGTCTGGGTTTCATCGCCGTACTGAACAAAGGGACGCTCGTCATCAGTCAGGATGGTTACCTTGCGCTGGTCGCCGTCGGTATGGAGCGTCTGATCGGAAATCGTGAAGTGTCGCAGGACGCCGCCGAAAGCCTGCTCCAGATTTTCACGGGTGAAAGTCGTTTGCGTTTCGCCGTAGGACAAGACAGTTCCCTTCACCAGCACGGTCCGGTCGCAGAATTCGGGCACCGAGCCCAGATTGTGCGTCGAGACGAGCATCACCCTGCCCTCGTCACGCAATTCCTTCAACAACGCGACGATCTGTTCCTCTGTCTTGACGTCAACGCCGGTGAACGGCTCGTCAAGCAATATGACCTGCCCGTCCTGCGCCAGGGCCCGGGCAAGAAACACGCGCTTGCGCTGGCCGCCGGACAACTCGCCGATCTGGCGGTGCCGGAAATCCTGCATGTTGACGCGCATGAGTGCCTGATCGACGGCTTCATGATCGGATTTTCCGGGACGGCGAAAAAAGCCCATATGGCCGTATCGGCCCATCATGACCACATCCTCGACCAGAACCGGAAAGGACCAGTCAACTTCCTCGGACTGCGGAACATAGGCGACAAGGTTCTTGCGAAGCGCATCACGAACCGGAAGGCCCAAAATTCTGATCCTGCCTCTGGCAGCTGGAACGAACCCCATAATGGCCTTGAAAAGCGTCGACTTTCCTGCGCCGTTGACCCCGACCAGTGCAGTCACCGTACCTTTTGGAATGGCAAAGCTGGCATTCCAGAGCGCGGTATGGCCGTTCCGGTAGGTGACTGTGACATCTTCAGCAGAAATTCCGCCGGAATCCGCTGTCGCGGTCGCATCCATTTCCGGGTCCTTGACGATTTGAAGCACGGGCCACCTATTAAAGAGCTTTATTCGACACTTAACAATCACGACCTCGCAACACGTGGTTGCGAGGCTCCAATCCGTTCGTCAGTTGCCGGCTGATTTCAGTCCGTCCGCAACCGTTCCGGCGGTCACCTTCAACAGATCCAGGTAGGTCGGCACTTTGCCGCCGGGCTCGCTCAGGGAATCGACATAGAGCTCGCCGCCATAGCTGGCCCCGGTTTCGCGCGCGACCTGCTTTGCCGGCGAGGTATTCACAGTGCTTTCGCAGAAGACGACCGGAATGTCGTTCTCGCGCACACCGTCGATGACGGATCGCACCTGTTGCGGGGTGCCGACCTGGTCGGCATTCATCGGCCAGAGATAGAGTTCCTTCATGCCGAAATCGCGGGCCAGATAGCTGAAAGCGCCCTCGCAGGTGACAAGCCAACGCTGTTCTTCCGGGATCTCGGCAACGGCCTCACGCAGCGGTTCGATTGTCGCGCGGAGCTGCTCCTTGTAGGCAGCGGCATTCTTCTCGTAAGTCGCTGCGTTCTCCGGGTCCTGTTCCGAGAACGCCTTGACGATGTTGTCGATGTAGACGAGCGCATTGTCGAGCCCCATCCAGGCATGGGGATTTGGCTTGCCTTTGTAGGAGCCGGATCCAATGGAGATCGGATCGATGCCGTCAGTCAGCGTTGCCGAGGGGATATCTCCCAGATTGGAGATGAACTGCTCGAACCAGAGTTCCAGGTTCATACCGTTCCAAAGGATCAGGTCGGCACCGGAGGCACGCACGATATCCTGCGGTGTCGGCTGATAGCCGTGAATCTCCGCACCTGGTTTGGTGATGGACACCACCTCGGCGGTCTCTCCAGCTACGTTGCTCGCGATATCTGCAAGCACGGTAAAGGTGGTCACAACCTTCATCTTGTCCGCGGCAATCGCGCCGGACGCTATGGTCGCCGTGAGCGCAGTCATGGACGCAGCCAGCGCGAATTTCTTGAGCATTCTGATCTCCTGAGAGGGAATTTCGTTCCTCCTGCAACTGATATTGCAAATCATTTGCATCTGTCAAGCTTGTTGCGAATGATTTGCATTAAAAGAGTTCGGAATGACGGAGGCTGGCAAGGGCCGCGGCCGGTGGAAACCTCAGACCAGATGGACCTCTGAACTAAAGCCGCTCACAACGCGTAGATGATTTCCGCAGCCCGGACCGCTGCAGAAGCACGGTTCTCAACACCCTGTTTCACAAAGATCTGCTCCAGATGCTTGTTGACGGTGCGCGGTGACAATCCAAGAATTTCGCCGATATCCTTGTTGGACTTGCCCTTTGCGATCCAGATCAGCACCTCAGCTTCGCGCCGCGTCAGACCAAACCGATCCTGGAGTGCCTTGACCTGTCCGGCTTCATCTTCGGTGGTGAGGCGAAAGAGATTCTCGTCCGGACCAACCCGACCAAGCGGATGCAATTGTACTGTCAGGGTCTCCGACAACCCGAGCACGAAGCTCTTTTGCGGGACTTCGGAGTGTGCTGCCTCACCAAGCCATTCCCCCAACGCCCTGCCCAAATGCAAGAGACTCGTGTCGCCGTCTCCCGTCCGGCTCAACAGCGAGTGGATCTGAGGCGTCGACCAGAGGATGTTGCCTTCAGCGGTCACCGCCACCAGATGGCGACCGGCCGCATCCAGGGCAACATGTGCACTTTGTACCGAACGGGCATTCTTCAGATGTACGTTGATCCTTGCCTTCAATTCGTCGACGGCGATCGGCTTGGTGAGGAAGTCGACGCCGCCTGCTTCAAGCGCCCTGACGATGTGTTCCGTTTCCGACAGCCCGGTCATGAATATGACCGGAACATGCTGCAATACCGGATTGATCTTGATCTTCTTGCATGTCTCGAACCCGTCCAGCCCCGGCATGACCGCATCCATCAATATGGTGTCGGGAACCACTTTCGAGCAGACCGACAGCGCCGCCTCGCCGCTGGTTGCCACCAGGACAGCGATTCCTGTCTTCTTCAGGGCTTCGGTCACAAACCCGAGGGTTTCGGGGCTGTCGTCAACCACCAGCACCGTATCGCGGCGATCATCCGTCATTGGTTTCCAATTCGCTCAATGTGTCCCGATAGGCGTCGAAATCAAACCGGTTGAGATGGCCGTGAAGGGCATCAACCAGTGGACGATGCTCCGGTGTGCCCGCGAGTTCCGTGAGTTTGGCCTCGATGCCTTCCACATATCCGATCTCGGCAAGCGAGATCAGATCGGCAACATGCCTTTGCCCGGGCGACCGGAATCTGGTCACTGCCGGCCTGTCCACGTGACCGGAATTCGGAGTTTCGGTCCAGGTCAAGCCAAGGCAGTTTTGCAACAGGTCGAGAAGACGGCCGATGTCGAAAGGCTTTCCAAGCGAGCCGTCGTGCAGCGCCGGACCATCTGGACGCAGGGACTGGTCGCCAATATTTGCAGACAGCATGATGATCGGTGCAACGTCTTTTCTGTCCCGGAGAGCCCGGGCAAGTTCCCACCCGTTCATTCCCGGCATCAGGATATCTATGAGATAGAGATCGGGTTTCAGATCACTGATATTCGCAAGACATATTGAACCGTTTTCCGCCTCGAGCAGTGTGAAGCCGATCGGCTCCAGAACCTCGCGCACCAGTGCACGGTGTTCCGGGTTGTCATCCACGACTGCAATTGTCTTGCGGGTGCCCCGGTATCCCCTCACCTGGCGTTCGAGGCGCACGGCGTCCACAGGTCGATCGACGGCCGCCAGCATGAGCCGGACCTCGAAAGAAGCGCCCTGCCCCAGTTCGCTTGCCAGAGCCACGGCACCACCCATCGATTCCGTAAGCAGCTTGGTGATCGTCAGTCCGAGACCAAGGCCTGGCGCCTTGCGGCCACTGGCAGCCTTGCTGCGCTCGAAAGGTTCGAAAATCTTCGCCTGTTCTTCCAGCGCGATGCCCGGGCCGGTATCGGAAACCACGAAACTGGCGACTTGCGAACGATAACCGACACGGAGCGAGACGCTGCCACTGTCCGTGAACTTGATGGCGTTGGACAACAGATTGACCAGGATCTGGCGTAGACGCTTTTCGTCGGTCCGGACAAAGACCGGCAGGTTCCGTGGTTTTTCAAAGGAAAACCCAAGTCCTTTTGCGCTTGCCTGCATGCGGAACATGTCGACGATCTGGTCGAGAAATCCATGAATATTGATTTCGTTGGAATAGATCTGCAGCCGGCCGGCCTCAATTCTGGAGATATCCAGCAGGCCATCGATCAGGCCGGACAGGTGCTCTGCACTGCGGCGGATCGTACCGACTGCGGGCCTTCTTGCCTGTGGTAACGTTTCGTCCCTCTCCAAAACCTGCGCATAGCCGAGCACCGCATTGAGCGGCGTCCTGAGCTCGTGGCTCAGGCCAACGACGTAGCGGCTTTTGGCAATATTGGCCGCTTCAGCGTCTTCCTTTGCCTTCTGGAGTGCGGCGTCCGTGACACTGTGTGCGTCGATTTCCTTTTGAAGCAGAGCGTTCTGACGGGCAGATTCCTCTTCGGCGACCTGCCGCGTATCATGGGCCAGCACCAGAAACCAGCAGGCAATACAGGCCACAATGGCAAACACGAAGAAGATCAGCGACACGGTTTGGGCGATGAGGCCTGTCGGGTCATCAAGCCGACTCGCCGCCTGGGCGAAGATGATCCAGAGGACAAGGCCTATTCCCGTTACAGCTAGAACAGAGGTAACCGCGTAGCGGCCAAGACGGGAACGAAGACTGTCGAGTACCGCATCTGGCAGGAATACAGCCGCGACGGACCCGACCTGATGGGTAATACGGGCGTTCGGCTTGCAGGAATCATGACAACGGGCATCCAGGGAACAGCAAAGCGAGCAGATCGGTGACTGATAGGCCGGACAATAGGCCATGTCTTCCGGCTCGAACGGATTTTCGCAAATGGAACAGGCGATATGGTCCCTGTCCTGCCAGTGCGCACGAGGCTTTCGTGCCAGATAGAATTTTCCTTTGGTCGCGAATGCAATGACGGGCGCCGCGACGAAGGCGACCGCCATCGCCAGAAATGTCGCGAGTGCAGCGGCAATATCGCCGAACAAGCCGAAGTGCGCTGCGATAGCCAGCCCGGCGGCAAGCAGCATGGCTCCTGTTCCGACCGGATTGATGTCAAAGAGATGCGCTCGCTTGAACTCGATACCCGGCGGAGAAAGACCAAGCGGCTTGTTGATGAAGAGGTCCGCTGAAATTGAAGACAGCCACGCCATTGCAATGATGGAAAAGATGCCAAGCGTTTCTTCCAGAAGCTTGTAGATGCCGAGTTCCATCAAAAACAGCGCAATACCAACGTTGAACACCAGCCAGACAACACGTCCGGGGTGTGAATGGGTCAGCCTCGAAAAGAAATTCGACCAGGCAAGCGAGCCGGCATAGGCATTCATCACGTTGATCTTGAGCTGTGCGACGACGACGAAAGCCGCCATCAGCAACAGGACGACGGTTTCGCTCGGGATCATGTAGCCGAATGCCACCGCATACATCCGCGACGGCTCGTCGGCGTGTTCGACCGGAACGCCGTGCGAGAGCACGAGCACGGCGAGGAACGATCCGGCGATCATCTTCGGAGCTCCCAGGATCACCCAGCCCGGCCCGGCGAGAAACAGGGCCAACCGGTGACGCCGGCCGGCGAAATCTTCCGCAGGAAGGAAGCGCAGGAAATCGACCTGCTCTCCGATCTGCGCCATCAGCGCAAGAATAACCGCGGTTGCCGCACCGAAACTGACGAGATTGATGTTGTTCCAACCACCCGGTTCCAGGCGCGGTGCTTGAGTTATCGGGTCGATTCCGGAAAACGAGAGCCATTGCCCGACCGATTGCCAGTCGGTAAACGCGATGAAAATGAACGGCAGGATGTTCAGGATGATCCAGAATGGTTGCGTCGCCAGCTGAAACCGGCTGATCCAGGTTACACCATGGGTGACCAGTGGAATGACGGCAACCGCGCTGATGATGTAGCCGAGCCAGAGCGGCACGCCGAATGCGAATTCCAATGCACTCGACATGATCGAGGCTTCAATTGCAAAAAGAATGAAGGTGAAACTTGCATAGACAAGCGATGTGATCGTTGAACCGATATATCCAAAACCCGCACCACGCGTCAGTAGATCAATATCGACGCCATACCGCATCGCGTAGCGGCTGATCGGCAGGCCGACGATCAGCAGCACCAGGCTTCCGACAAGGATCGCCAAAAATGCATTTGCGGTTCCGTGCGACAACGTTATCGCACCGCCGATCGCTTCAAGCGCCAGAAAGGAGATGGCCCCTATCGCGGTCTGGGAGATCGCACGGGAGGAAAACCGGCGCGCGCCCTTGGCCGTGAAACGCAGGGCATAGTCTTCCAGCGTCTGGTTGTTGACCCATTTGTTGTACTGGCGCCGAATGGGCAGGATGCGCTGACGGGCGGTCATTTCAGACCAATCGCCCGAATTGACGCCAGTTGCATAAATTTTTGGCAACTCACGGTCAGAATTGCCCCGTTTTCCAACCTGTTTCTCATTGGCTTTCCTGCAGAGCACGATTCATGCCGAACGGCACAAACGCCCGCCAGAGCGCGCCACCGGCGACTTACGTCAATTGACGTATGTTGCGGTGCAATGTTTCCGGCGCACGATCTTTCCCCGGTGGCGGCAGTCCTTCCAGCCGCCTTGCACCGGCCGGGAACCGGTGCCTTATCAAAAAGGGGAACTGGCATGAAAAACACTCTCACAAAACTCGCGCTGGCAGGCCTGATGGCCTCCACAATGATCGGCAGCGCAGTTGCTCAGGAAGACACGATCAAGGTCGGTGTTCTCCATTCGCTGTCCGGCACGATGGCGATTTCGGAAACAACGCTTAAGGACGTCATGCTGATGCTCATCGAAGAGCAGAACAAAAATGGCGGACTTCTTGGAAAGCAGCTTGAAGCCGTCGTCGTCGACCCTGCTTCGGATTGGCCGCTTTTTGCTGAAAAGGCACGCGAACTGATCGAAGTGAACGAAGTCGACGCCGTGTTCGGTGCCTGGACCTCAGTGTCTCGCAAGTCCGTTCTTCCGGTCTTTGAGGAACTGAACTCCCTGCTGTTCTATCCGGTGCAGTACGAGGGCGAAGAATCCCAGCGGAACGTCTTCTATACGGGCGCTGCTCCGAACCAGCAGGCAATCCCTGCTGTTGATTACCTCATGAATGAAGAAGGCGTCGAGCGCTGGGTCCTGGCCGGTACAGACTATGTCTATCCGCGCACGACCAACAAGATCCTGGAAGCCTACCTGAAATCCAAGGGTGTTGCTGAAGAAGACATCATGATCAACTACACGCCGTTCGGGCACTCCGACTGGCAAACGATCGTCTCCGACATCAAGACTTTCGGCTCGGCCGGCAAGAAAACCGCAGTGGTCTCCACGATCAACGGTGACGCAAACGTTCCCTTCTACAAGGAACTGGCAAACGCCGGCATCAAGGCGGAAGACATTCCGGTCGTCGCCTTCTCGGTTGGGGAAGAAGAACTCGCCGGTCTCGACACCGGTCCGCTGGTCGGACACCTCGCCGCCTGGAACTACTTCCAGTCCGCAGATACCGACGCCAATGCCGAGTTCATCGACGCCTGGCACGCCTTTATCGGTGACGAAGAGCGTGTGACAAACGATCCGATGGAAGCCCACTTTATCGGTTTCAACATGTGGGTAGAAGCCGTTGAAAAGGCAGGAACAACCGACCCGGATGCCGTGATCGACTCCATTGTCGGTGTTTCCGTGCCGAACCTGACGGGTGGGTACTCGGCAATGATGCCAAACCACCACATCACCAAGCCCGTGCTGATCGGCGAAATCCAGGATGATGGCCAGTTCGAAACAGTTTGGGAAACATCCGGTCTCGTCGTCGGCGATGCCTGGTCCGACTACCTGGAAGGTTCCAAGGACCTGATCTCCGACTGGCGTGCTCCGATGTCCTGCGGCAACTTCAACACTGTTACGGGCAAGTGCGGAGGCTCCGGATCCTAACAGGGAAAACGGTGTCGGGGCGGGTTCGAATGACCCGCCCCTGACCGGTATTCATCCCGGTCAGTCAAACACGATCCCGGGATCCAGCAGTCGCCGACCCGGACTACTGGACCCCGGCCTTCGCAGGGATGACGGGAAACCGGCCGACGACTGTCGCCGGGAGACAACTCCCGCAATTGGAAACAAACAATCAACGCCGGTGGACCCATGTCCAACTTGAAATCAATCTTTGTCTTGTTTTGCCTCGTTGCCGGTCTGGTGAGCCCGGCGCTTGCCCAAAGTGACACCGAAAGCCTGCGCTCGCTGGTCGACGCACTTGCAAAAGGCAAATACGCAGAGACGGAACAGCAGATCGGAGCCCTGGTCGCAACCGGCGATCCGGCAGTCGCGCCGGCGCTTCAGGCTCTCGGTGCCGGTGACCTTTATTTCCGCAAGTCGGACGGCCAGGTCTACATCGCGGAAAAGGACGGCAAACGATTTACCCTTACCGACCCGTTGACGCTGGAAGTCGAAGGCGACGCAGGCAAACGGGAAATCAAGAAGATCAAGGTCAACAACAAGTTGCGCCGGGTAATCCGCTCGGCACTTGGGTCCCTGACGCTCATGGCGGCGGACCCGAACGTTCGCGTCGCAGCCGCCGAAGCGATATTCAAGGCGCAAGACCCCGCGGGCATCGACGCACTCGAGACAGCTCTTGCCGCCGAGACAGACGACAACGTCCGGCTCGTCATGGAACAGGCCCGAGCTGCCGCCGTGCTGAATTCCGATCTGGAGGAGGCGCAGAAACTTGCAGCCGTCGAGACGCTCTCGGAGATGGGAAACCGCGAAGCCCTGTCGCTGTTGATCGGCGTCCGGTCCAATTCCGAAGGAGCGGTACGGGACGCGGCGAACCACGCGGTTGAAAAAATCGAAAAATCCATCGCCGCCTGGAACACGGCACAAAACGTCTGGTACGGCGTTTCGCTTGGTTCCGTTCTCCTGCTTGCGGCCATAGGCCTGGCCATCACCTTCGGTGTGATGGGGGTGATCAACATGGCTCACGGCGAGATGGTGATGATCGGCGCCTACACTACATTTGTGGTTCAGGAGATTATCCGCACCTCTGCACCAGGCCTGTTCGACTATTCCCTGTTTATCGCGCTGCCCCTCGCCTTTCTGACCGCGGGCCTGATTGGCATCGCGATTGAACGCGGTGTGATCCGCTGGTTATACGGCCGACCGCTGGAAACGCTTCTGGCGACGTGGGGAATCTCACTGATCCTTCAACAGGCCGTCCGCTCCGTCTTTGGTCCCACCAATCGGGAGGTCGGCAATCCGGACTGGATGTCAGGAGCCTTCGATCTTGGCCAGATGACCATTACCTATAATCGAATGTGGATCGTCGTGTTCGCCCTGCTGGTGTTTGCCGGCCTCATGCTGGTCCTCAAGAAAACACCCTTCGGCCTCTACACACGCGCGGTCACTCAAAATCGCCGGATGGCGGCCTCGATGGGCATTCGCACGCCCTGGATCGACGCCCTGACCTTCGGCCTCGGCTCCGGCATTGCCGGCATCGCCGGCGTTGCGCTTTCACAGATCGACAACGTCTCGCCGAACCTGGGACAAGGCTACATCATCGACAGCTTCATGGTCGTCGTGTTCGGCGGTGTCGGAAACCTGTGGGGCACGCTCGTCGGAGCCATGACACTCGGGGTCGTCAACAAATTCCTCGAACCCTACGCGGGCGCCGTTCTCGGTAAGATCTTCGTACTGGTGTTCATCATTTTGTTTATTCAAAAGCGTCCAAGGGGTCTCTTCGCCCTCAAGGGCCGGGCAGTTGAAGCATGATGACCTCCTTTCTGTTTCGGGCCATGGATGCCCGTGCCGGCGCTTTTCTGGCGATCATGGCGGCCGTCATCATTCTGGTGCCAGTGGGCAACCTTCTTGTCCCGCACGGATCACCCTTCCATGTGCCGACCTATGCCGTCACCCTGATGGGCAAGTATCTCACCTACGCCCTGCTGGCCCTGGCGGTGGATCTCGTCTGGGGCTATTGCGGAATTCTCTCGCTCGGCCACGCTGCTTTCTTTGCACTCGGCGGTTATGCGATGGGCATGTATCTCATGCGCCAGATCGGCACGCGCGGCGTTTATGGCGATCCGACCCTGCCCGACTTCATGGTCTTTTTGAACTGGCAGGAACTGCCCTGGTACTGGTACGGCTTCGACATGTTCTGGTTCGCGGCCCTGATGGTGCTTCTTGTCCCCGGATTGATTGCCTTTGTTTTCGGCTGGTTCGCCTTCCGCTCCCGGGTCACTGGTGTTTATCTGTCGATCATTACACAAGCCCTCACCTATGCACTGCTGCTTGCCTTTTTCCGGAACGACATGGGATTCGGCGGCAATAACGGCCTGACGGATTTCAAGGATATTCTCGGCTTCGACATACAGGCAGACACGACCCGGGCCGGCCTGTTTGCAGCCTCCGGCCTGGCGCTGGTTCTTTCGTACATGATCTGCCGTGCCATTACCCGGTCCAAGCTTGGCAAGGTTCTGGTTGCGGTGCGAGACGCGGAAAGCCGGATACGCTTTCTGGGGTACCGCGTCGAACACTACAAGCTGTTTGTCTGGACGCTTTCGGCGATGATGGCAGGTGTTGCGGGCGCCCTTTATGTTCCGCAGGTCGGCATCATCAATCCGGGCGAGTTCGCGCCGGCAAACTCCATCGAAGTGGTGATCTGGGTGGCGGTCGGCGGCAGAGGAACACTGGTCGGAGCCGTTTTGGGTGCCGTTCTGGTGAACTTTGCCAAGACCTGGTTCACCGCGGCACTTCCCGAAATCTGGCTGTTTGCACTCGGAGGACTGTTCGTGTTTGTCACGTTGTTCTTGCCCAAGGGAATACTGGGCACCTTGAATGACGGATGGTCGAACCTGCGTCAACGCAGGAATTCTTCCGATCAGGAAGACGGGACCGGCGGCCCGCGGCCACAGGCAAAACAGTCTGAAGATGCACCCGCCAGCACGCCTCCTCCCGTTCCGGCCATGTCCCGCGCCGGTGCTTCACATCCTCAACCGGCGGAGTAAGACATTGGTGAAAGCAACCAGCCTTCTCTATCTCGACGGGGTTTCCGTCACTTTCGACGGTTTCAAAGCGCTCAACGAACTTTCGCTCACCATCGCTCCTGGAGAAATGCGCGCAATCATAGGACCCAACGGCGCCGGCAAGACCACGATGATGGATGTCATCACGGGCAAGACAAAGCCTGACCGAGGCGAGATCTATTTTGACGGTGCGATCGACCTGACCGGCGAAGACGAAGCCTCCATTGCAGAAATCGGCATCGGACGAAAATTCCAAAAGCCCACCGTCTTCGAAAGCCACACAGTCCGGGACAATCTGGAACTGGCCCTGAAAGCCCCCCGTGGCCCGTTCGCCACGCTGTTTCATGTCATTTCCGGCGGAGAAACGAAACGCATCGACGACCTTCTCGGCCTCATAAGGCTATCCGACAGGAAACATGAACTTGCGGCCAATCTCAGTCACGGTCAGAAACAATGGCTGGAAATAGGCATGCTGCTGGCGCAGGACCCGAAACTGCTCCTCGTCGATGAACCGGCAGCCGGCATGACCGACGCGGAAACGGCAGAAACGGCCGAGTTGCTCAAGGACATCGCGCAAGACCACTCGGTTGTCGTGGTCGAACACGACATGGAGTTCGTACGCTCGCTCAGCGTCAAAGTCACGGTGCTTCATGAAGGATCCGTTCTAGCCGAGGGATCCCTTGATCATGTGTCTGCCAACGAACGTGTCGTCGAAGTCTATCTGGGGCGATAATTTTTGCCGCGGAACATTCGCTGTCTTCCCCGAGAAGGTGCAATACAATGCTCAAAGTTGAAAACATTGATCTTTATTATGGCGCGGCTCAGGCGCTGAGTGACGTTTCCCTGACTGCCGAAACCGGCAAGATCACCTGTCTTCTGGGCCGCAACGGCGTTGGAAAGACATCCACTTTGCGGGCGGTTTCAGGCCAGCATGGTATCGCCGCCGGTAAAATCCTGTGGAACGGAGATGACATTTCATCGCTGCCGGCCTTCGCGCGGGCGCGCAGGGGAATTGCCGTCGTTCCACAGGGGCGCGAGGTTTTTCCTCTTCTTACGGTGAAGGAAAATCTCGAGACGGGATTTGCACCTATCCGTCGAAGTGACCGCTTTATTCCCGATACCGTGTTCGACCTGTTTCCGGTTCTCAAAGACATGCTGAACCGCCGCGGCGGCGACCTGTCAGGCGGGCAGCAGCAGCAACTTGCAATCGCGCGCGCGCTCATCACACGACCACAATTGCTGGTTCTCGATGAGCCGACGGAAGGCATACAGCCATCGATCATCAAGGACATAGGCCGCGCGATTGCATGGCTTCGGAACCAGGGAACCATGGCGATCGTCCTTGTCGAGCAATTTTTCGAATTCGCCAGGGATCTCGCCGATGATTATGCAGTCATGGATCGTGGCGAGATTGTTCTTTCAGGTTCAGGTGCCGATCTGTCGGAAACCGAAGTTAGGCGATTTCTGACGGTGTAAGCGCACGTCTTCCCAGACCGACCGCAAGGCGTCATATGACAGTCCGCGAGAATCGCCGGACTATATGGGCTAGCAATCGCGACGTCAGTCGTGCTAGGGGCATGACAGCTTCAAAGCTGCCGAAAAATTCAGGACGCAGTTACTTCCTGCGTCCGGGTCAGCCTTAGGAACTGGAATTATATTATGCGCGTTGCAATGATTGGGACCGGCTATGTCGGTCTGGTATCGGGAACATGTTTTGCCGATTTCGGTCACGTGGTGACCTGTATTGATAAAGACACTACAAAAATTGATGCCCTGAACAATGGAAAGATTCCGATCTACGAACCGGGTCTTCAGGAACTTGTCGCAAAGAACGTTGACGAAGAACGGCTCTTTTTCACGACCGATTCATCGGACGCCATAAGGACCGCCGATGCCATCTTCATCGCAGTCGGAACCCCGACGCGGCGAGGAGACGGACACGCCGATCTTTCCTACGTCTATGCGGCCGCGGAGGAAATAGCCGGACTTCTGGAAGGCTTCACAGTCATCATCACCAAATCGACGGTTCCGGTCGGCACAGGTGACGAAGTCGAGGCGATAATCCAGAAAACCAATCCTGATGCCGATTTCGCCGTGGTTTCAAATCCGGAGTTCCTTCGTGAAGGGGCAGCCATCAACGACTTCAAACGGCCTGACCGTGTTGTTGTCGGTACGGAGGACGACAAGGCTGTCGAAGTGATGCAGGAACTCTATCGTCCGCTGTATCTCAACGAAACGCCGATCATCGTTACCAAGCGGCGGACCTCCGAACTCATCAAGTACGCGGCCAACGCGTTTCTGGCAGTCAAGATCACGTTCATCAACGAAATCGCGGATCTTTGCGAAAACGTTGGTGCGAATGTGCAGGAAGTGTCTCGCGGAATTGGCCTGGACAACCGTATCGGGTCCAAGTTCCTGCATGCAGGACCGGGTTACGGCGGCTCATGTTTTCCGAAAGACACACTCGCGCTTTCCAAGATTGCCGCGGACGCCGGGTCTGATCTCAAGATCGTCGATTCCGTGATCGAGGTGAACACCGCTCGCAAGAAGAAGATGGCAGACAAGGTCGTCGATTTCCTGGGCGGTGACGTCAATGGCAAGACAATCGCGCTGCTGGGCCTCGCCTTCAAACCCAACACCGATGACATGCGCGATGCTCCCAGCATCGACATCGTTGAGAAACTGCAATCGTGTGGCGCCAAGATCCGTGCCTACGATCCTGCGAGCATGGAAGAAGCCGGCAAGATGATGTCGGACGTCCTGTTTTGCGACGGACCCTATCACGCCATCGAAAATGCGGATGTGGTCGTGATCTGCACGGAATGGGACCAGTTCCGCGCACTTGATCTGGAGCGGGTAAAATCCCTGCTAAAGGCACCGAAGGTGGTCGACCTCAGGAACATATACAAACCCGACTACATGCTTTCCCGCGGCTTTGAGTATACAAGCGTCGGCCGCAGCTACTGACCCTTCCATTCTGAGGGCAATGTCTGATCATGGAGCTGCCGGAGAGAGAAATTTTCGGCAGTTTCAATTAATGTTTTACAAAAATTTAACTCGTTTTTCGCACCGCGATGTTGCAGCTTGAATGTCGAGCTGATAACAAATCCCAATAAATCAAGGATTTTACGCTCTCTGTTAACCATTGATTAACGAATACTTAGCACCTGCCGCTTCAACGGGCTATGTTGCATCGGCAAATCCTTTAGACCACACGTATTGGCTCGAGGCTTGTAAAGCTTGGCAAACGAATCCGTTAGATATGACGATACCAGTCGCTATCGATACATTGGTAAAACAACCAATTATTCTTTTAACCCATCAGTTTTTGATCAGGATAACCGTCCAATAAAGAAAGTTACCCCTTCGACACAAGGCAACAGCAAACTAAAGAGAATTCTGGACATCCTGGGAGCAGGATCTGGAATGCTTCTTCTGCTGCCTCTTTTCGTGGCGATCGCCATCGCGATAAAGGTCACAAGTCGTGGGCCTGTCATATTCAGGCAGGAACGATACGGACTCGACGGAAAACTTTTCACGATTTTCAAATTCCGGACGATGCACCAGCACCTGGGTGATGGATCAGGCGTGACCCAAACGGTATCCAACGACCCGCGTGTTACCGCTGTTGGCTCGTTTCTGCGCAGGAGCAATTTCGACGAGCTTCCCCAGTTGATGAACGTCCTTCGCGGAGACATGTCACTTGTCGGGCCGCGTCCGCACGTACCGGGCATGCTGGCGGCCGGAATTGATTACGAAAAATTCGATACAAGATACATGGAACGTCATCAGGTGCGCCCGGGAATTACGGGTCTCGCACAGGTCAACGGATTTCGTGGGGAAACCACGGATGCCTTTTCCGCGAAAATGCGTCTTGAATATGATCTTCAATATCTGGAGAGCCAATCTCTCCTGCTTGATTTCAAAGTCATCGCCCAGACAATTGCGCGCGAATTTTTCTCCGGAAACGGATACTAGAATACGTCTTCAGCAATGACCCATTGCCTGGAGCTTGTCCGGTTGAAACCCGTCAGCTTTCCTTCAGCAAGGTCGCTGCCCGTTGCAATGCAAGCAGGTAGCCCTCGACACCGCACCCTGCTATCACCGCGTCTGCTTTTTGCGAAACATAAGAGTGATGACGAAAAGCTTCGCGCCTGTGGATGTTGGAAACATGCACTTCGATCACCGGACACGTACACGCACTGAGAGCGTCCAATATAGCGATGGACGTGTGTGAGTAAGCGGCCGGATTGATAATGATGGCGTGAGCTGCTTCCCTGGCTTCCTGCACCCAATCGATCAGGTCGTGCTCTGCGTTGCTTTGCCGGAACACGATATCAAGTCCGTCATTTTCCGCCTGAGCGACGCACATTTGATGAACATCGTTCAGTGTCTGATGGCCATAGATCTCCGGTTCCCTCTTTCCCAGCAGGTTGAGATTCGGTCCGTTCAAGATATAAACGACTTTTGCCATTCGTGCCCTTTCGATCGCTGCCTCCAAAATGCGGTCAAACAGCGTCTTTTGCCAGTCATTCAGCCAGTTCTTCCCCAGAAGGCTGTGGACGGCCGGAACCTTCCGCCATACGGGTAAAACTCGCTATTGCGCGTGTCAGATTTACTCACTATTAACTATAAATATCCAAGGTGGCGGAAAATAAACTCAGCGGAAGACAATGATCAAGCTGCGTGAACGGCTGGACACTCCGGAAGCACTGATGGCGGCGATTGAGGGTTACCAACATCTCTCGATCGACGTCCTGTCTCAATTTCTGCTCGACAATTATACGGTTGATCTGGACGTGCTGGCCCAGTTTGCAGATGCACTTGAAGCAAGTGCCTCCAATACCGTGCACACGACAAGTGAACCCTCAAAATCGGCACAATCGGCGGCCTGAGTTCCCCCACGATCGAGATACCTAGCCAATCGCGGTGACGTTTTCAGGTTCTTCTGCAGCTTCTCCAGGCGGCTGCCCGGGCGGTTGCCCCGGTCCGCCCTGCCAAATCTTCTGCCGATTTCTTATTTCCCGGGGAGCGGGACCGAAATAGGTCGCTGTCTTGATGAAATCACGCGGATGAAGGATCACACTCGAAACCCGCTGATACAACGACTTTGCCGAAATAGGCTTCGACAGCAACTCGTGCACGCCTAGCCTGCGGGCTTCGACAATCCGGCTCCGTTCAGTATGGGCCGTTACCATGATGATCGGGATGTACGCGAACGGATTGTTCGGGCTGCGGATCATGCGCACCATGTCTGCACCGTCCAGAATGGGCATGACCCAGTCCAGGATCAGAATATCCGGGTTTGCACGATCCATGGCCTCGAGGCCGGAAGCACCGTCCTCTGCCTCCACAATGCGACGCGCACCGAAACCCTGCAGCATCGTCCGCAGAATCGTCCGCATATAAGCACTGTCTTCGACCAGCAAAAATGTCAAAGAGGCAAGATCCAGGCTCACCAATTCCTCCTTGTTTCCCCTTGTCTTGCCATGAAAACCTGAAGATTGGGTTAGCCGTATCCCTGCCGAGGTGGAAAGCATCGGGCAAGAGCAGCAAATCGAAGCTTAACTCATTGAATATTATTCATAAATCCAATTTCAGATTTGTAATCAAGCTCAGTTTTCACAACTTGGTAATGCTGTGGCCAATTAACTTTTTCACACGCCACGGATTAACGGGACTTTCAGAGCTGAAGGTCATCCTGCTTCCAGAAACAAAAAAAGAGATGTCACACTTCAATGATCACGAGCCTCATGACCACAGACCGGGACAAGAGCAGACAGGACGAGCCGCTTGCAGGCGAGCACGAGCCATCTACGGCGGGCTCCAGCGGACTGCGCGAGAATATTCTGCTTCTTTCAGGAGTGGGGCTTGTATTGCTGGCGGTTGCGATGGCGCTGTCAAACATTCTTGCCTGACATATCCTTCGACAGACCGTACGCGGGAAACGGGTCCTTGCGTCAGCGCTTGTCTTCCGGCAGGTCGTCATCGTCCAGAATCCGCCACTTCGCGCCTTCCAGATCATCATACTGACCATTCTTCAACGACCAGAGAAATGCAATCAGGCCGAGGGCACCCAAAAAGAGTGCGATCGGGATCAGGAAGATCAGGACATCCATCGATTGCTATCTCCCGTCTGACGGCTTTGGCGTTTGCGCGCCGCCGGTACCGGACGAACGGCTTGTTTCGCCCCACTTCAACTTCAGGGCGTTGGCCGTAACCGCCAGCGAGGAAGCCGACATTGCAACGGCTGCCATGAGAGGCGTCACAAAACCGGCCACCGCAATCGGTACGGCAATGACGTTGTAGAGGGCAGAAATCCAGAGGTTCTGTTCGATCGCCGTCCTTGCCCTTCTGGACAAGTGCAAAGCATCGGCCACCGGCATCAGCCTGTCTCCCAGAAACACCGCGTCTGCTGCCGCCTGACTGAGATGAACCGCGGAAACAGGCGAGAGTGAAACATGTGCACCCGCCAATGCAGGTGCGTCGTTCAGTCCGTCGCCGACCATGAGTACCTTGCGGCCTTCCGCCTGCAGTTCCTCAAGACGCGCTATTTTCCGGGCAGGTTTCATGCCCGCGCTCCAGGCAGAGATCCCCAGCGTTTTTGCACAGTCCTCGACAGCTGGCAGGGTATCGCCGGAGATGATTTCAAGCGTGTACCCTTCCTGGCCCAGCCGATCGATCACACTGGCCGCATCCGGCCGCAGGCTTTGCCGGAAAGTCAACAGTCGCACAGGTTCGTCACCGTAGCTGATTGCGAGCAGGGAAGCGCCGGGAACCCTTTCAAGGGCTTCGTCAATCAGCTCCCGAGAGGCCTGGCAGAACTGCGGGCTGCCCAGACGGAGCTTCTTGCCTTCATGGTTTGTTTCCAGACCTGCTCCGGCAATTTCCTCAATATCGGGCAATGGCATGATAGCGCCCGTTGCCCGGACCAATGCGGCGGACAATGGATGACGGCTGGCAAGGGCCAGACGCCCGGCCAAGGCTATCATCTCGTCTGCCGGGTCAACGGTTTCGAAAAGTTCAGGCTCAGGCCTTGTCAGCGTGCCGGTCTTGTCGAAAAGGATCGTGTCGATTTCAGCCAAGCGTTCGATGGCATCCCCTGAATTAAGCAGGATACCACGCCTGAACAATTGTCCAGAGGCCACCACCTGAACTGCCGGGACGGCAAGTCCCAAAGCACAGGGGCACGTGATGATCAGGACTGAAATCGAGATTACCAGGGCCGGTTGCCAGGCCAGGCCGGCCAGAAGCCAGCCAAGAAATGTCAAGGCAGCAGCACCATGCACCAGCGGAGCGTAGAGTCGCGCCGCACGGTCGGCGATCCGAACGTAGGCGGACTTGGCCTGCGACGCGGTTTCCAGAAGCCGGTTTACTTCGTCAAGAAGCGTCGTGCCCGAGGCAGCTTCTACGCGAACCTGAAGTGCCCCTGCCCCATTCAAGGTACCGGCATAAACTCTTTGTCCCCGCCTGACTGGCACGAGAATGCTTTCGCCCGTAACCAGGCTCTGGTCAATTTCCGACTGTCCCGTTTCCACGACGCCATCCACAGGCACACGCTCTCCGCCTGAGACCAGGACAAGGTCACCCGTGTTGATCTTGGAAAGCGGGACTTCGCGTATGCTTCCGTCGGAATTCATCCGGGCGGCAACTTCCGCTTTCAGCGCAGCAATGTTTTCGGCAAAGGACCTGGTTCGTCCGCGCATGTTGTGGTCGAGATAACGACCAACCAGCAGGAAAAAGAGCAGCATCACCGCAGATTCGAAATAGGCATGATGCTGGTGCTGCAGCGTCTGGACAAATGACAGTGCCACGGTCAGAAACACACCGATCACAATCGGCACATCCATGTTGAGCCGGCCTGCAGCGAGCGCTCCGAAGGCACTTTTCGTGAACGGACGCCCAGCGTAGGCAACAGTCGGCAACGCGATCAGGGCCGACAGCCAATGGAAAAAGTCCCGCGTTTCGGGGGTGATGTCCGTGGCATTTCCCGACCAGACTGACACCGACAACAGCATGATATTCATGCCGGCAAATCCCGCGACAGCCAGGCAGCGCAGCAGCTGTTTGCCTGTCTTGTCCTGACGCTCCTTCTGGCTTGCCGGATCGAACGGGTGGGCCGCGTAACCCAGTCTGGCCAATTCACCGACAATCTCTTCGGCGCCCGTCTGGTCCTCAACCCAATCGACGGCAAGCCGCTGACTGGTGAGATTGACCCTGGCGGAACGGATACCCGGCAAACGTTTCAGGCCACGTTCGATTTCCCCCATGCAGGCGGCACAGGTGATCCCGTCAACGGCAAGGTCCATATGAACCGCGCCGTTGTTTCCCGGTGTTATGAATGCCTGCCAGTCACGCTGATGTACCGTCACGCGGAGTGCCTCAGTCCTTCAGGAATATGCGGTTTTCAGACTTGAATTTGCGGTTTCCGTCCTGCTCGATCTCCAGGACAAGCGTCCAGTTGCCGGCGGGTAGATGTTCCAGATCGGCCACATAGCGCCCGCCGCCATCCGCACGCAGGTTCGCTTCCACGTCTGCCATTTCCTGGGCCGGGCGCCTCAAGAGGACATTGATGTCGATGCCGTAAAGCGGGGTCGCTTCGGCATCTGCTGCGTGTACCACCAGTTTCCAGGTGTCGTCGGTTGACCGAACGACTTCGCTCGAAACCTGCCAGTTCAATTGTTCCTGAGCTTTCGCCGCCGCCAGTTCCTGGTTGTAGCCCTGGCCGGCTTCATAGGAACTTTCCACGACCACGCCCGGGAAAGACCCGATCGCGAGGTAGATGAACACGGCATTGGCTGCGAAAATCACCCCGAAGAACCCCAGCAGCCAGATCAAAACGGTTTTGCCGGTAATCGCCTTGGGGTCTTTCATGTTCGACTGAACCATTGTCATTGTTTGCTCCTCAAGGCTTGTCTGGCGCTTTGAAAGTATCTTGTGCGGTTACGACCTCACCCATCACGCTTTCGGTGATGCGGAACGTCACCGGCGTTGAATGCGGCATCTTCTCCCAGGGCGGCGAACTTACAAGAACACGCACTTCACGTGTTGTGTCGGGGCCAACCTCGATAATCGGCCGCCCGGCAAAATTGGAATCCGCGCCGACCGCCTCAACCTGCGTGTTCGTGGGCATGCCTTCGACATGGAGCATGAACGCCCTGGTATGGCGCCGTTTGTTGGACAGACGCACGGTGTAGCCATTGCGCACCGAACCGTCGGATTGCTCAACGAAAACCGGATTGCGGTCGTGAAGCACGCTGATATCGGCAAAATCCCGGTTGAGCAGCGCAAACAGCATGATTGCGCCCACGAGAGCGATAATCACGGCATAGACCACGGTCCTGACCCTGACGATCTCGTAGACCGGCTCCTTGCCTTCTATCCGTCGCTCGATGTTCTCGTCGGTATCATAGCCGATCAGGCCCGTGGGCTTGCCGACCTTGGTCATGATGTTGTCGCAGGCATCGATACACAGACCGCATTGGATGCAGTCAAGCTGCATCCCCTTACGGATGTCGACGCCGGTCGGACAAACCTGAAAACACTGGAAACAGTCGATACAATCGCCTGCGGGCAAACCTTCCGCCGCAAGCTTCTTGTTCTGTTTCAAAGATCCGCGTGGCTCGCCTCTGTCCCAGCGATAGGTAACATTAAGCGCTTTTTCATCGGTAAGGGCAGCCTGGATGCGTGGCCACGGACACATGTAGATGCAGACCTGTTCGCGCATGAACCCGGCGAGCAGGTAAGTCGTTGTCGTCAGGATCGCGATCCAGATATAGGCGATCATCGGCGCCTGAAACGTGAGAAGTTGCCAGACCAGCGTCGGCGCGTCGTTGAAATAGAGGACCCAGGCCCCGCCGGTCCACCAGGCGATCATGAGCCACAGGAAATGTTTGGTAGCGCGCTTGCTTACCTTGCCGAAAGTCCAGGGATCCTTGTCGAGAGCAATGCGTTCGCGCCGATCCCCTTCCACCTGCCTCTCGACCCACAGAAAAAGGTCCGTCCAAACGGTCTGGGGACACAGGTAGCCGCACCAGATCCGGCCGGCGACGGCGTTCATCAGAAAAAGCGCAACAGCCGCGATGATCAAAAGCCCGGTGAGGTAGTAGACTTCCTGCGGCCAGATCTCGATGAAGAAGAAATAACCCCGGGCCTTTTCCATATCGACCAGGACTGCCTGTCCGGGAGCTTCCGGACCGCGGTCGTAGCGTACAAACGGCAGGAAATAGTAAATGCCAAGCGTGATGAACAGCAACGCCCACTTGATCCTGCGGAACAGGCCGTGGGTTGCCATGGGGTAGATTTTCTTGGCCGACGCAAACCACTCTTCGGAGTGCTCGTCCTCATGCGTATCGGTGTCCGCAGACATACCGTCCGTCCTCTTTGTCGCGATCCTGCCCCAATAGGATCCTGCTTCAATCGGAACGGGACCCTCATCCCGTTCTCATCGCCGATCAATATCAGCATTGCTTGAAAATAATCCGGCGCAAAGCGTCACACTTTGCGCCGGATCAAATGCTTCAGGCGACCCGGCGCATTTGCCGTCTCCTCACCATCTTGTTACTGACCACCGCCAAAGGAGTGGACGTATACGGTAAGCGACTTGACGGTTGCCGGGTCAAGGCGGTCAACCCATCCCGGCATCACACCGTTGCGCGGGGTGGCTACCTGCCTCTTGATGTCATCGAGCGTCTTTCCGTAAAGGTAATTCGCAGACATCAGGCTCGGCGCTCCGACTTCCTGCAGGCCTTCCAGATTGTCGCCGTGGCAGGCGGCACAATTGTCCTCATAGAGGGTTTGCCCGGCAGCCAGGTCCACACCGTCATCGGTTTCGACACCGGCACGGGAGGCGACGAAGTTGGAAACCTGGTTTATTTCGTCCCTGCTCAGCAATTCATCGCTACCGAAAGCCGGCATGTCGCCGAAGCGCGTGTCTTCACTTTCCGAGCGAATGCCATGGAGAAGCGTGGTGTGGATGTCATCCAGCGTTCCACCCCAGATCCAGGTATCGTCCTGGAGGTTGGGATACCCTTCCGCACCCGTGCCACCCGAGCCATGGCAAGGTGAGCAGTTGTCACCAAACGCAGCCTGTCCGCTGGCCAGCGCAAACTGCAACAGCTCCTGATCCTTGGATATGTCCTCAAGTGCAGTTGCCACGATCTTGTCTGCAAACTCGGACTGCTCCGCGATCCCCTTTTCGTAGGCAGCAACTGCTTCCTGGCGCTGGTTCGAGCCCAGGATGCCGTGTGTGTACCCGTTGACCAGGGGCCATGCGGGATAAAGCACCCAGTAGATTACGGCCCATACGATGGTGACGTAGAAGAGGTACAGCCACCATCTCGGCAAGGGATTGTTCAGTTCCTTAAGACCATCCCATTCATGGCCGGTCGTCTCGACCCCGGAGATTTGGTCGACTTCCTTGTTTTGTGTATCTGCCATGGTTCAATCCTCCCGGAACGGGATCTGGGCCGCGTCGTCGAATTTTTTGGCGTTCTTTGGCCACAACGCATAGGCCAGGACGATGCCGAACAGGACCACGAAATAGACCAGGCCCCAGGTCTGTGCGAAGCTTGCAAAAGCGTTATACGTTTCGTTCATCGCCCTTACCTCGAGTTTGCCTTGTCGTCGTAGATGGAGAAGTCGACCATGGTGCCCAGCACCTGAAGATAGGCGACCAGTGCGTCCATCTCGGTGACTTCCTTCGGATTGCCGTCAAAGTCGCGGACAGTTGCACTGGGCCAACGCTCTTCGAAGGCATAGGCAGCGTCGGAGTCCGGCATTGCCTGCCCGAGGAGATCGGTCTGGGCATTTTCGACCTGCTCATCCGTGTAGGGCACGCCGACAATGGTGTTGACTGTCAGAGCCGACTGGATGTCCCGCGTGTTCAGTCTGTTTTCCGCAAGAAACGGATATCCTGGCATGATGGACGCGGGAACCAGTGAGCGCGGGTCGACCAGGTGCTCGACGTGCCAGGCATCGGAATACTTGCCGCCGACCCGTGCAAGGTCCGGTCCTGTCCGCTTGGACCCCCACTGGAACGGATGGTCATACATGCTTTCCGCAGCCAGAGAGTAGTTGCCGTAACGCGCGAGCTCATCGCGCATCGGGCGGATCATTTGCGAGTGACACAGGTAGCAGCCTTCACGGACATAGATGTCGCGACCCGTGAGTTCCAGCGGCGTATAAGGCCGCATTCCCTCAGTCTTCTCGATTGTGCTCTTCAGATAGAAGAGCGGGGCAATCTCGACCAGGCCGCCAATGGCGACCACGACCAGGATACCGACCAGCAGAACGAAGGAGTTCTTTTCGAAGACTTCGTGTTTTTTCCAAAGTGACATTGTTGTCCTCCCTTATTCGGCCGGAGCCAGGGAGCCAACCGGCGTGGCTTCGGCTTCCTCAGCCTCGCCATGACGGACGGTCATCCAGAGATTGTAAGCCATGATCACGGCACCAAGCACGAACAGTGCGCCTCCGAGAGCACGGATGATGTAGAAGGGATGCATCGCTTCCACTGTTTCGACGAAGGAATATTCCAGGAAGCCGAGGCTGTCGTAGGCACGCCACATCAGACCCTGCATGATACCGGATACCCACATCGCGGTGATGTAGAGCACGATGCCGATCGTCGACAGCCAGAAGTGCCAGTCAACGAGCTTCAGGGAATAAAGCTGCTTCTTGTTCCACAGCCAGGGGATCAGGCAGTAGAGCGCACCGAAGGAGATGTAGCCAACCCAGCCAAGAGCGCCGGAATGCACGTGGCCAATGGTCCAGTCGGTGTAGTGCGACAGGGAGTTGACCGAACGCAAACTCATCAGTGGACCTTCGAAGGTCGACATGCCGTAGAAGGCAACCGATACGACCATCATGCGCAGAACCGGATCGGTTCTCAGCTTGTCCCAGGCACCCGACAGCGTCATCAGGCCATTGATCATGCCACCCCATGACGGCATCCAGAGGATGATGGAGAATGTCGCCCCCAGCGTCGATGCCCATTGCGGCAACGCCGTGTAGTGGAGGTGGTGCGGACCAGCCCAGATGTACAGGAAGATCAGCGCCCAGAAGTGAATAATCGAAAGGCGGTAGGAATAGACCGGACGATCAGCCCGCTTCGGGATGAAGTAGTACATGATGGCAAGAAAGCCAGCGGTCAGGAAGAAGCCCACCGCATTGTGACCGTACCACCACTGCACCATCGCATCCTGGACACCCGCCCAGACGATGTAGGACTTGGTCGAATAGATCGAGACCGGGACCGTCAGGTTGTTGATGATGTGCAGCATGGCGATCGTGACGATAAAAGCCAGATAGAACCAGTTCGCCACATAGATGTGCGGTTCCTTGCGTTTCCAAAGCGTCCCCAGGAACAACAGCAGGTAGAAGACCCAGACGATGGTCAGCCAGAGATCGGCATACCATTCAGGTTCCGCGTATTCCTTGCTCTGGGTGACACCGAGCAGATACCCGGTACCCGCGAGGACGATGAAAACGTTGTACCCCAGGATCACGAACCAGGGCAGGATCTTGCCCGGCATGCGCACACGGCACGTCCTTTGAACGACATACATGGACGTCGCCAGCAAGACGTTGCCGCCGAATGCAAAAATCACTGCCGATGTGTGCAGGGGACGCAGCCGGCCGAAATTGGTCCAGGGAAGATCGAAATTCAATGCCGGCCAGGCCAGCTGAAGCGCGATTATGAGACCGACCGTGAACCCGGCAAGCCCCCAGAACATGGCGGCGACCGCACCGAATTTGACCGGCCCCATATTGTAGTTCGGTTTTCCGTCGATTTCGGCCGGGATAGGTTCCCCGCCGTCGTCAAAGAAGTTCTTGAAGATCAGAAAGACGCTGACCGCGGCGAAAAGCGCGCCGATGCCAGCGTGAAAAGCCATGACCTGATCAAAGGTCTTGCCTGCTACGATGATGCAGACGAATGCAAGCAGCACAAGGAAGATGGCGAAACCACCCTCCTCGAGCGAGACCAAACCGGTCTTTTTATGTGCCATTTCAGCGCCCCAGTTTTTTAGAATCCGTGCAAGGTGCCAACGATGGCACGACCATGCGCACGACTCCCTGTGAGCCGCGTTGATTCATATCAAGAGCGGTCTTACTGCATTCAAAGATGTGAAAGTTGCCCGCACAATGTCGCACGCCACAGGCAGAGTGTCGCAATCGTAGAACTGCGTACTCGCACGCGCGTCGGGCATCTCATGAAAACATCCCCTCCGTCCAAAAGCCCAACACGGCTCATGGTCAAAATACCGAACCAGATTGCTTCAGGCTTTCAACGACATCGCTGAGAATTTTGATGTGATGCCTGCTTGGCAATATCCACATTGTAATTTTCCCTGTGAGCGGCACTTGTGTCTCGAATGGGGCCACCAACTCTCCCTTCCGGAGATGATGCAAAACGAGGGACTTGTGTGCCATGAGAACACCTGCCCCGCTCAACGCCTCCTGGAGTGCAACCGAATAAAGTGAAAAGACCGGACCATCGGGACTGAAGTCGGCTTCCGGCATCACTCTTTGCGCCCACAGCTTCCAGTCATCGGCCCATGCAATATCAGTCAGGCAGGAAACAGTTTTCAGGTCTTCCGGCCGCCTGAGTTTGCGCGCCAGTGCGGGAACGCAGACCGGCAGGATTTCTTCACTTCCCAGCTGTACTCCTCCCGGGGGGGTGGTGTTTGTGTAAAACAGGCAAATGTCGAACGGGACCCGTTTGAGGTTTGGCGGAGTTTCCATGGCGGTCACTGACACATCGACGTCAGGCAGTCTTTCTCGCAGCATCGGAAGTCGCGGTGCGAGCCAGAGCTGCGCCAGGGCAGGCAGTGCGGCAATGTGCACCTTGTGGGGCGTGGCATCCTGCCTGAGGTCGCGCACCGCCTGGCCCAGAGAATCGAAAACCTCCACGAATGCCGGCAGTGCTCTTTGCCCAATCGGTGTAAGCGTTACACCTCGGGTACTGCGGACGAACAGGCTGGCACCGATCTCCTCTTCCAGCGACTTGATTTGTGCGGCAACCGCACCCGGGGTCACTCCGCGTTCTTCGGCTGCCAGCGCAAATCCGCCAAGCCGCGCGGCCGCTTCGAAGGCACGAAGGGCATTGAGCGACGGAATTCGAGGTGTCGGGGGTGATACAGGCATCTTTTGACCTATTTTTTCTAGCCCTTGTTTTTCTAAAATCTGATTTGCGAATGTGCAAGCCCGGGTCCACTCTGATTGCAATTCGGATTGGAGAAACCTGAATGTCTGCACACGAACTCCGGCCATGGTTGCCGCAAAACGTCGCCTCGCGTATCGACGGAATAACCAGGAGCACCCGTCCCCTGACTTCAGCTCAGGTTGCCGGTCGCGTCGACCAGCTGGTTG